CGCGGGCCCCCCCCCCAGCCCCCCCCCCCAAAGCCTGTAGCGTTGCATGGGGTTGTTGTGACTGAAGTGCAGCACCCGACACTTGTCCTTGTTAAACCTCATACAACATCCAGGCAAGGAGTCTGGGAAATCATACAGGATCTTAAAAAGAGTAAGTGCAAACCTGGCACCCTGTGCCGTAAATTGTCAAATGATCCAAAAGCTCTATTAAATTAAATAACAGAAATTATACACTAATGAAGACAGATTTTTAATTCAGTCTGAGAGAAAAAAGTAGATTGCAGACCAGCATTGGTCCTACTTTTCTCTCATGATCTTACCCCTAGGTCTGCAAACGGCCCATCATACAACGCCAGCTGAGCAACTCGACACCTGTCCCTGTTCGCAAGTGTCTGGGGCGTGCTGTAACCTCCTCTCAACGCATTTTCCTCAGCAATCAGTGCTTCCAGCTCTGGTGTGGCTCCTCCTGTTACCAATGTCCGTATCAGTGTGAGGATATTGTCATTGAAGTATGTCTGCAGAGATAAAAGAAAGCTCTTTAAGCAAACACCATTAAAGTCACAACTGAAGACATCCAAATTACAACTTTTCTGGGTTTCTGCTGTTTAAAGTTCTTGGCTGTCTCTTCAAATAATTTTATATAGAAAGTGAAAAGACAGCAGCCTCCAATTACTCTATTTTCTTCTATCCCATTAGGCTCCTATACCAGATCCTTCCTTTTAAACACCAATTCAGACTGATTTTTATTAAAGTACAAAAATTTGAATGATTTATGTTTCCTATAATTGGTGTTAGTAGTGATGCAATGACTGCTTTCCTTCTCATTGCCTTCATGTCTAATAATGGGCTTTAGGACATGTAATTGTAAAATTCAGACCACATTTAAAGCTTACACAGGCTAGATTGCCTTTTTACTCTTGTCACCAATTCGTTGGGGAGCTGCCTTTGTGCTGCAAATGTCATTACTTATTACCGTGGCTGGACTCTAGCAGTCTAACCAATGTATTGTACTAAACATCTTATTACGAGACTTGACAGTGTTCAGACATAAGCATGTATCAATTAAACATCTTGAGTTCATTCCAGATAAATGTATGATGAGTTTGGGATCCTGGTGGTCCTTTTAAAAAACTCTAGGGTATAGGGTAAGTGTGGTTTATTAGGGAAGATTTACTCCGCACTGACATTTTGCCAGCATCTGTAGCATTGCTGGTCTGTCAGGCAAACAATGGGTATTTTAAATATTAATTTAATGCCAGATGAATGACTTTCAAGTTCACTTAAAAGTATACTGGTATAGTTCAGAGATACTCGGTTAAATACCTGCAACGTAATGTACTGGGCAAAAAATAATGTTGAACAAAAAAAGGAGATACCATCACATGTCACTGATGTCTGTGTTTTCAGAAGCTTTGCAAGTGTGAGGGACATACATACGTGAAGAAAATGAGCTCACCGCAGAGATACACAGGATTGACATTACTGGATTTGTGGATCACATTACCAGATTTGTGACTTTTGTTGAATTTAGGACTTGGAACAAATGTCTGTAGTCCAACCAAGTAAAAATGAATACTGAATTCTCAAATAGTGCTTGCTGTCCAAAGAGAATACTTTTTAAATAATACTTTTCAATGAAATTCATTGCTCTATCCATAAAATGTAATTGTATTTAATACATTGGTAAACTGAGGTACAGGTTGAAATATTTTATCCTGAGATCAAAAAGCAGAACTGTCTTCCTATCCATGCTACTTCTTTGATAGTCTTTCTTTGTATAATGAAACTTCAGTTTTATTGTTCACTTGAGATGACAGATAAAACAGGAGAAAATTAATTCTACGCGGCAACGTTTTCACTGTTACATTGAAGTTTCATAACTTCAAGCTTCTCTGCTTATTTACACAGGCATATATGCCATTCACCTGTTGACTAAATCAAAATGAGAGGAACATATTGTTATTGTTATACGTGCCCTACAGCAAATATTTGCATCTCATCAACTCCAATTATTTCAAATTAGCCCAGGTAAGGAACTACATATTTTAAACACAAAAAGAGTTGTCTGATGTTAGCAGGGGTGCAGGAAGATTCAGTTAGTCTAAAACAACAGCTAATCTCAAATCAGCTCTTACATATGTGGGTGCACTGTGTAACAATTCAAGTGTAATACTCAAACCTTTCTTAACATATAGAAAAATCAATGTGACCCCTTGCAGGAATCTAAGTCTGGAGTGACTACATGATCTTTAATAGGAATTGCCGTGGTGAGAGAGAGAAGACATTCAGGCATGATTATTTATTCTTCAATTACTTCTTCCTTGATGTCCCTGAGGTAAGAATCAGAGCTGCCCTCTGTGGGAACTCTTCCCACTATGCTACACTTTTCCAACGTGGAAGTACTCAGAATAAAACAATCGGCATCGAGTTTAGCCTCTTTTCTTAGCTTTTGTTGGTGCATGCTATATACCACTCAGAACTAAAATAATTAGCACAATTCCTTTGCTCCTGCAGTTAGGCAGCAATGTTACTTGACACCAGTTTCATGGATATAAAGGCAAACTCTGCCAGATCTAGAGGTTGGAGGCATTGCAACTGTAGAGCTGGAAAAGCCCTTTCAGTAAAAACATGCTTCACCGTGTTCTATATGGCACACATCTTCACAAAAGCATACCATTTTCTGCAATAGTATCTGTTCTCATGCGTTCTCCACTCTTTTATTCAGTATTTTAGATTTCTTTTTCTTCTCTAAGTAGCGATATTTAGTATTATTCAAATATGCTATTCTCAGTTTTACATCCATAAATCAAGATAGAAGAACATGAAACAAAAGCATGTCTTTACCAGTAGATTTTTCAAGTCTGGTTTACAATGAGGCCAACTATGGCAAGAAATGTTCACCTGATTTAAGACTGATGGATGCTGGTTCGCGTAAAATAGCCTATCTTTATAGGCTGTTGACTTGCAGTGATTGGTAAAACGTGCAAAAGTCTAAAATTGAACTAACAATTTTATTACTCTTTAGGAGGTATCATTAGGCCAGCCTTCACTGGTTTCCAACTCTTTCTCTCTCTCTTTATTCTGTAATTCACATTATAGCAACTATTGCCAGAATGCAAGATTTAAACACGTATACTCTTAGCTCATCTGAATTTTGTACTGTGCAAGTGCACAATTACCCCTTATTGAAAATTCAGTTGTAGCTCACTGGAGCATGATCTAGTAAGAAATTACGCTCTCGCCATATCGCTCATTTTACTACAGATTTCATATTAAACCAAGAAATGAAAGCAGTAGTAAAATAATGTATTGAGTCAGGCACCTGTCACAAATTCATTAATACAAATAAA